AAACCCCCTATGGAATCGACACAACCTTGAAATCGGCACGTCCTCTTCCGCCGACGCCAATCACAACTCCCGAGCGGCTTCAAGCTTTTACTCACCATGCCCGGAAGAATCGATGTCGGGTCCCGAGCGAGAGGATAGAGATTCAGAGAAAAAGAAGAGGATATGAGATTTCGAAAATGAAGAGGGCGGGGGACAAGTTTGTACAGTCGAGTCGTGTCGTTTGTCAAGTGAAGGACTGCAAAGCCGATTTGAGCAGTGAAAAGGATTATCACCAGTGACGTAAAGCGTGTGAGGTACATTCTAAGGTTACTTGCAGAGGTTTAGTGAGCAATATTATGCAGAGGTTTTGCCAGCAGTGTAGCAGGTTATTTATTATTATATTTTTTAATTTTCTTAGCATACCGTCTTTGGTGTGCTTGCATTATTTTAACATTTGTATTTGCAGGTTTCATGTTCTAAAAGAGTGTCACTGATTAGTTTAACATAATCAGTGATTAACAAGGCTGTCACTGATTAGTTTAACATTTGTATTTGCAGGTTTCATGTTCTAAAAGAGTTTGATGAAGGTTAGAGGAGTTGCCGTCGAAGGGGGGAATGTGAGGGAAGAAGGTGAAGAGGGTTGCTGGGAATAAATAGAATTGGATGAGTTGAAAAAAGAAAAAAACAAACGAAATAAAAAAAAATGTTGTAACAATAAGAAAAAAAAAAGTAGCTTACAAAATAATGAAGGTGACATGTGGAAGAGTTTGATCATAAGGGACCATAATTAGAAAAAAAAATTAGCAGTAGTTTTTTTCTTGCTGTGATGCATATTTTTTTATTATTATTTTGAGGATGTGAGTTTTTGTTTTATTTATTTATTTATTTAATGATATATATATTTTGTGTGTGTTCTTTTGTGAGAGAATATAGAACTGCATGGCCGTCAAGCAAAGGACTTGGGAATTTGTCACCAAGTATGTGTATCGTGCGGTATAGAAAATCAATCTTTGTCACTTATTATTTTTCGCTTTTGTTTTATTTCTTTAGTTTTTGGTTTTACAAATCAATTATTTTTGTACTTTATAGCAATTTAGATTAGATTATTGTTACTATTAACAAATGATTAAAAAAAATGTTGGGGACAAACAAATAGAATTTAGGGTTACTCTTGGTAAATTGAATTGATAGTTGTAAGTTAGTTCATAGCTTTAGTGGATTTCAACTTTATAGTTATATATCATATAGTTGAAAGTTGAGACACTAGCTGATATAATAAAAATGATTGTCTAATAAGTTGACAAATCATTTATAAAATAAAATCTTCATTGAACTTTTTTGAATAACTTAGAAGTTTATGAGATAAGTCTTTAAAAAAAATATTTGGTCATATCGAGGTTATCTTAAAACTAGCGCATAATCGTGTGATGCACGGGGAAACAATATTAATTATAATATTAAATGAAATAAACGTCAACAACATAACATGTAAATAATAATAATAACAAAATACAACCACATGTATGTCGACATATTTAAAAATACAATTGAAAACACAATCATTTGCTTTTGAAAAACTACATCGTCAAAATAATATGAATGAATATTTTGATATAATGTGTGTGTCTCAATATTTTTTTTATATGGAAAATGCCCTGGTAAATTTTTGTTTGTATATAAGTGGGTCTTGATTTAGTTCATTTTTTGTTATGACATTTTAATTAATTTTTTGTGTGAAATGAGATGTTCAATGTTTTAGCATGATAAAGAGTGTCTCGATCTTTTTGGTGTAAAATATTTGAACAATAGTGTGACCGTTTATTTTAGAATAAATGCATGCCTCCATCTTTTCTTTTGTAAGCTTTGGAATCTATATTTTTTATGATAAATTTGAAGAACAATAAGACCGATATTTGTTGGTATAAATGATTGGAGTGAAAGTCAAAATTCCAATGAGATCTTATAAAAATGGCAATGTATAGCGTATTTATCATTATTTAAAAAACTTTCACAATTTCATTTCACAATGGCCAAATTGATGAAACAAAAAAATGTGCGAGATCTACATAAAAAAAAATTGATACTGACAATTTGATTCAATATATCAGATATAATCACATTATTAATTGATTAGCAAGTAACCAAAATATAATTACAAAAAAAAATTCAGAATCAAATATTACATAATCACATTGTAAATCACCAATTTATTAATTTGCAATATATAAATAAAAAACTTGGAAAAATATAATAGGATCAGATTAACCAAAAGAACGTGTGAGTTACATAGAGTAAATATTTGTAATTACAAAATAGAAGAAGTGTTATTTGCACAAGTTTAAAATTGACATGAATCATACGCAATTTATTGTGTTTGTTAACATATTTTCATATCAAATATTTATGAAATTGATCTATACTTTGTTCTTCTTCCCCAATAAATTCAGTGTAAATCGATGTTGTCTACTCATCCTGTTTTCGATTTAATTTTTTATTACACAATACACGGTTATATTTATTTAATTCTATTCAACATGAGGTGCGAATTCGGTTGCATATGATGTTGCATACGAGTCGAATAATCGAACACAAATTTGAGGTTGAATAGAAAAATTACTTGAAAATCCTATTTCACGATTAGGACTTCCAATAGATCCTCCCAATTATTTCAAGGGGAGTTGTCAAGATATTGTAAATGCTGCAATTAATTTTATTGAGGTACGGGCTGATTTTACTGTGTTGAGGCTTACAAAAAATATGGGCCTTCAGAGCATTGGTGATTCAGATGAATACAAGTAGCTAACAAATTTTGCTAATTAGATAGCGAACATGGAAGATGGAGCCACTGGGAGATCCAATGATGGATGTGACTTAATAGACATACCTGATGATATATTGGCGAAAACTACTAATGACCTTATCGCAGCAATTGTTGAGAGCACTTATCCAATATTTAAAGATACAAGCGATGATCCCAGTAATTTGAAGGATAGATCTATACTAGCTCAAATGTTGGAGGTGGTTGAGTCTATGAATGAGTACATGGCGTTTTTTAACGTGGCTGATGGTCTAACATACTTGAGCTCTGATAGTACGTACAAATCTGATTCCAATAATGATATTTTTGTCCGATCTCCACACCCCCGAGTTTTTTAATACTATCAGATCTTCAGGAGTGTCGAACCATGAGTTGAATCTTAAGATAGGAATCACACTTATGTTGCAGAACGTTGACCATTCTATGGTGTTGTGCAATGGTACGAGATTGATTACCACAAAGCTCTCCACTCATATACTTGAATATATGGTATTGACATGATTTAATGCAGGAGAAAATGTGTTGATCCCTCGGATGACATGTCCATACGTTAGAGCACCATTCAAATTTCTGCATAGGCAATTTTTCTTAATGGTTTCTAGGCCATGACGATCAACAAAAGCAAGGGTCGGTCTTTATCACATCTTGATATGTTTTTTTTAAGAAGTTGGTGTTCAGTCACGACCAGTTGTATATAATTGTTTCCCGTCACCAATTGATAGAGCTTGAAAATATTAGTTTGTGGGAGGACTGTGTGCCTACAAGGCAAAAAATATCGTCTACAATGAGGTTTTTAATAATACATAATATTATTTTTTATTCTATTTATTTAATTTTTTTTTACTCACGAATATAATAATAAAATTGGGTAAATAACCTTAGAGTTGTCCACCCCGTGCATCGCACGGGATTCGTACTAGTATATATATATATATATATATATATATATATATATATAGATGATCACTCGAACTAAATACTCGTTAAAAAATAGTTTAAAACTAATATAAATATAAGATTTTGTGTCTTCATTGAACAAAAATTACTTAAGACTAACATAAAAAATATGTTATAAATGTTTACCAAAAAATGGTTAGTAAATTATGTAATTAACCATTAAACAAAATATTAATGACGATAGAGGTTATATATAAAGTGGGCGAGTAGGACTTTTTTTTTTTCCCCCCAAAACCACAATAATATTGTTAAACTCTAAGGCCTAAGGGGCGAAGACTACATAAATTATTCATTTTTTTATTGATCGGATAATTTTTTTTAACACTCTTCACTTTAAATTCAACTCACACACGTCAATTTTCACCATTGATCCGCTTACATATTTTAATTACTCGTAACTTTCAACCACTTCTCTTTTACATTTCAATCACATCAACTTTAATCATTATTTTTAAATATTATTTAATTACAAATTAAAATCTCATTCAATTAATTTTAATCAAAATAACTTACTTTATCCAATAAATCCAATAAAATTCAAATTATTTTATATCCAATTAGCCCCTAAAAGATTACAAAAAATTGCCCAATGACAATATAAACCACCTTTACATTTAATACATCAAACACAAGGAAAAATAAGGCTCATAAGAGGGGATCCACTCAAAATCCAGACACAAAACCAGACACAACACCCCCAATTGGGAGTCACAACTACTTTCCATTTCTGGAATACACAAACTCTCCCCAAGAGAGAAAATCAAAGAAACACATATAGAAAAACAAACTACAACTAAAACAACACAAATACAAATACAAATTAAATAGAGCATTGCTCTCTGTTTCCATCAGACACATCATTGCTACCGGCACCATAAGTCGTCGAGCAGAATACGATCAACTAACAAGGATTACACAATCAGCTCCCACGAACACAAACAGACTCACAGATCGACCAATCACCCCAATAGGAAATGACCGCAAACCGAGTCTAGAATGAGTCCAACACGGTCCAGCCTGCAGGCTAACCAGTTTCGTCCCACGGCCCGTACATGCTAGTCCATTTCAGCTCGTTCCCTAGCGGGCCTAAAAAATATCAGCCCATTCAACTATTTTTCGATGCGGGCCGGTCTAATGGCTCTAAACAGAAACACGGTAGAATATATTTTTTTTTCTCTCTCTTCAAAGTAGGGTTTAAACATGAAACCCCCTTAAACAATCATTCAGCGTACCTCATTGAGAAGCCATGGCCAAACATAAAGAGAAGCAGAAGAAAAACACGGCGGAGGAAGAGAAACAAACCGATAATGTTAATGTTGTGGAAAAATCGGAAACCCTAGATGTGGAAACCGTGGCCAAACGTAAAGAGAAAAAGAAGAGGAAAAAATCGGCGGCGGAAGAGAATCGAACCGATAATGTTAAGGTTGTGGATGAACCGGAAACCCTAGACGTGAAAATCATGGCAATCAGCGAAAGCCCGGATCTGAAAACCGCCCCAATCGTTGGATACTTCTCGTCCGGGTACGACCCGCTGAAAAATGCGAAAGGTTCCAATTCCGGCGTCAAGGTCTACAGGAGCGTCAATTCTCGAAACCCTAGGAATCCCAGGATGCAGGTGTCCGTGGAGGCGAGTAGGTCACAGTTGAATTTTGTGGGCACGAATTATTCCGGCGAGGCCACGACGCCGCAGCTGTGTAATTATGCACTTGGGGTGTTGGATAAGGAGACTGGAATTTTGAAGATGGTGCCAATTGCCGGCAACAGGGTGAGTAATATCGTGTATGTATGTGTGTGTGTGTTTTCTATGGTCCCAAATGGTATGTTTGGTGCATATTATGTGCTTTGCCTGAAAAGAAATGAACTTTTTGCTGATATTTGTTGGATTTTGATTTATATCTCACTGAAGTCCGGATTTGTATTGTCAAAACATTTAAGTTTTCAGATTAGTTATCTGTGCTCCTTACTAGCTAAAAAAGGCCAATGCGACTCTTGGTTATAGTGGGCTTGTTATTGTGCTTATTTTTTGTTTAATTTCGTGTTTGTTTGGTAACTGGGATGATTTATAGATAAAACAGTCTACTCTGTTCGTACTCTGGATGAATACAGATTTTCAGGTTGGAACCAAGAGTTGTAGGAATGGAGCAGCCTGAAAACGAGCACCTCGACGAAGATAAAGGAGACACTGTCGAGGAAAAGGCTGAAAAATTGAGTGATTTGTCCAAATTTTCAACCAAGAGGGATATAAATAGAGTATGCGCTCATCAATCTTTTCTATTTTTATTTTATTTGTCATTTTTTGTTGAAGGAAATAGGATGTTGGCAACAAGGGCTAATCTGATCTAGTCTGAATCTTTAATAATAGAAATCATTTATATTATGATGGCAACAGGATAAGAAAATTAAGGCTCTACGCCAGACAGAAGTCTCGGGAATGGAGGACATAATGAGCAATAAATTACAAGGAATCACATTTAACAAGGAGGCAATTGAGGCTACTGAATCCGCTGATTATTCTCGCAATATCCCACCACACAATTTGCAGGCCACTTCTTCAGACACTGCGTATCCACTTGAAAAGATAATTTTTCAAGGGGAGTGGAATTTCCTTCTCGATGTTTTTGAACTCACTGAGTCAGGTTCAGATTTGAGCCCTGATGTTTATCCAACCTTCGTTTGCAGTAGAGTTCACGAGTGTGGTGCCATCAAGGTGAGGATTCATAATGAGTTGTTTCAGCTTCATAATTTAATTGGTTGATTGTTGTGTTAGTGTGACGCGTGTCACGTTTTATTTTAAAGTTCCAATGTTTTGTTATAATCCTTATTATTTTAAAAGAATAAAATGAATAAACATTAGATGGACAATGATTTACCTACTAAATCTTGTTTTTATATGAATACTTCGTTGACATTGAACAATTGAGAGATCAGTTTAGGGTTTCTTCTAGTTCTTTACTCTTCATTAGGCTGAATGTCTAGTAGATTTTATCTTTTCTAAGTTAACCTTTAGTCATGAAGTATCATTACAAGATTCACGCAATTCCGGACCATTTCTGATATGACATCATTACTGGTTCTCCATGAGTTTGGGCATATGATGATTGGTTTTGCAATTCAAGTGATTAATTCAAGAAGGATTCAAATTCTTATTGCATAAAACAATCCAGAAAAATCACGTTCGTGCTCAAACGAATGCCTGTGCATATTTTTCTTTTATTTCCTACATCTACTCATTTAATACATCATGTTTTTTCTTGTTTTCCTCATCCTAGGATGAGTCAAAGAGAAAAAGGACAGCCTGCATACTGTCTTATATCACTCATCTCATCAAGTACAAGGATAAGCACTCGATGGACGGCGTATCATCTGCAAAACATCATTACCTGCCGAGCATCTTAGCACAGAAATTCTCCTCATTATTTGGTACCACGGAAAATAAAAGAATTCCGGAGGACAAACAAAAGCTGCTTATAAGCTACATCCTTGTCCTCACCTTATTTGTTGATGATTTTCTATCCGACCCAACTGACATAGCCAAGGACCTTCGGATGAACCCTGTAGCGTTAAGACCTCACTATGAATACTTAGGCTGCAAATTCGTGCGCGAAAATCAGGTGCTGCTGGCGACTCTTCCCGTCCCATTAGAGTTTCAGACACTTAAGAGGAAAAAGAGGAGAAAATAGAATCTGTTCGCGTTTTTTGTTGCAGGCTTTCCCTTTAAATTGTTATAGACATTCCTTGTGGCGAGTGTTGAGAATTTGAGTTTCTGACGTTTTTGCGGCATAATATTGTGTTGAAGAAAGTGTCTTTGTGGTAGAGGTTTTAGTTGAATTCTGATGATTAATGTATAACTTGAACTCAATTCTGAATTTGTTTTGTCTTGAAAATTTCTATGGGATCAGGAGTTTTG